TTGAAGAATTTCATTTGGTTTTTTAAAAAAAGGAAAAAAATTAATATATTGCAATTTTCTGTATTTTTGGATCACAAACGGTTTTCTTAATTGTTTGAATAATCAGTGTTTATTAATCTTTATAATAATTGTATATGTTTAAAAGATTACGGGTTTTTGGGATTTTTATTTTGTTATTTTAATTTTAATAGTTTGGATACTTAACTTCCGATACTTTGTTTCAACGCAAAAGTCAGTTTGTCTATAATTTAATAATTCTTTTAAATAAATAAATTGTTTTTTAAATATGTACTTTAACTATATATATATACGGTTGGGTTCATGTGAGACCAAAAGTTTTTGTGAGACCCGTAAGACCAATTTATGTTCATTGATCAACTTTATAAGCTAATGATCTAATGATCTAAAGTTGTACGGTGACAATTTTATGATTATTGAGAGGTATCGTGACAATTTTGTGATTATGAATATTCAGATTGTAGATCTAATCCAAGAGTTGAGAATTGACCTTACGAGACTCACGAAAAACACTGGGTCTTACATGATTTCAAGTCTATATATATATATATATATATATATATATATGTATAAGAAAAAAAAACAAGTGAAATCACAATTAATTTTAAAATGAATTACACAGTTTGTCCATGTAATTTGTCAAAAATCTAGTTTTCATTCTTGATGATCTATAAAATACCGATTTGCTTTTCATAACGGTTAATAACTGACGTCGTTGAGTTTAGTAGCCGTAAGCATTATGAAATTGAAAAGTCGAAGACCCTCACTTCATTTTTAATGACAGAATTCCAAATTTCAAACAAACCATAGAAATAATTCACTCTATTTCTATTAACATATATCGTTTAGGGTTTGTTTGGTTTGCATGATTGTTTTTGAGAAAAATCTGGATTTCATGGAGGGATTTGGATTTGAACTTATTGGTGTGTTCGGTTTGTAGGATTTGGAACGAAATTGTATTTCATTATTTATAAATAATTATAAAAAATAATTGATTTACATTTTTATTAATCGATTATTACAAAACAAATGTTTTTTAACATTTTTTAAAACATTATTGCATACAATCCTACGAAATCCCGTGAAATCTCAAGGACTCCCTAAAAATTTCAAAATCCCATATTTTAAGGATTTCAATTAAATCCAATGATTTCAAATCCGGATAATTCAACAAACCAAACATGAGACTGGAACAGATTTAAAATGCAAATCCCTCCAAATCCATTTCATTCCTTCAAACCAAACAGGACCTTAAAAATATATATTTAAAATAAAAAAACAAATAAAAGGGTTTTTTTAGTGTGTATGGTTATAATATGCCAATAAATGGTGATATTGCTTTGTCCATGATAATATTGGTTACCTTAATATGGTACCAACCTCCATTGAAAGGTAGCCATTGTTATGCCACTACTCATAAATCAATTTATTTTATTTAAATAATAATTTAAAATATATTAAGGTTGGTAAAAATTTATAATTTATAGATGGTTTAATTTTATGTTTTCAAACAAGAATATTATTATTTATTATCTGTATTTTTTTGAAGTATATGATATTTATATATGACAAATACAACAAATAAACTCGCATACATTTCTTATATTTGGTGAGGTTTGAAGCCCTTACCTTCTAGGAAGCCAAAGATTATGATATCGCTAGACCAAAGACCATTTGGTTTCATATACGTATTATTATAATCATATTAATTATATCATTTTCTACAATTTAAATCTGAGTTAAGTGATATCATATATATTTTAAACTGATTATTTGTGACTTGAAATGATTATTTGTGTTATTTAATGATTAAGTAGATAATCAATTTTGTATGATTAATTTCATACTAGAATAGTACTTGCACAATGCAGCGAGATATATCTCGATTTTAATGTTTCGTTTTATTCTGTCTTCGTTGATGTTATAATACGATTTTATGTGGTAGTGAAAAAACGATAATATTTTTTTTGAATAAAATATAAATTTGAAGGTATTATAAAATTTTGAAAAAAATATATCGATTTTAGTATCAAATTAAATATTTAAAAGATATTGGTTTTGTTTTGTATAATTTCTTTAATTCAATTTTTTTATTATAATTTAATTTAGATTTAGCAATGATGTTATTTATTTTTGGTTTAATAATATAATTTTTTTTATAAAGATAATAATTAGTATTTTGTTAGAATTYAATAMTTATGCTAAATATATTTTAGAATTTTTATATTTAAAATGAGATACCTATTCAATATTTGATTATGTTTATCTGCAGTTAGTTACATGAATTCAAATATGGAGCTTTAATACGTTGTACATACGCACAGTTTACTTGTAATCTTGAATTTTAAGTAATATCCATCAATAAATAATATTTAATGCATAAAAATGGTATTTAATACGTTAAATGATTTATTGCACCAAAACAAATTTTATAAGGAAAAAAATTACTTAGTTACATGTCTCTTTGACGATTGTCATAATATATCAATTAACCAAACAACCGATTATCTAATTATTATATCTTGAAACTAAAAACGCATTCAAGCATTGCAAAGTGTGTTGTCGTAGTTAATTATCTGACATTAATTCAACTGATTGTTGAATATCACATGATTACTTTTAAAACATCTGGTCAATCACCAGATTTAAAATTTGACAAAAACAATATCAATCGTCCAATCTTTATCCTTAACGTATTATAAAATCTATTGAATACATAAAATGCTTCATGTTAACTACAAGGGTGGTGTCTGATTGGTTTGAGCTTGGCTCCAAAGGTCAAAAGTGTCTGGACTGTCCCATGTTCAAATCCAAGAAGGAACAAAAATCCCCTTGTGGCTGCGAAGGTTCAAATGCGGCGACTCCGGGCTACTTGCAAAGCAGGTGGTCGTCCTGGGATTAGTCGGCTCGCATAGCGGGTTGGATATCCAGATCATGTTTAAATGTACAAAAAGACCCTGGTTTTTGGATTGAAAGGGTGTTTGTCTGGTTGGGCTTTCTCAGGCTTAACCAAGGTTTTCGGATTTTTTTATGTCGGGCTTTAATCGGCCTTATGATCGGGTTTTAAGGTCAGGCATGGGCTTGCTAGGTCCAGGGGTTTACGGTCAGAGGCCAGGCTTCGGGCTTGCGACGTTTTGTACGCCTTTAGTCTGAACCTCATCAAATAATCAGTAACCAACTAATAACACTTTTAAATACTGTATAAAACATTGAACTCTACGAATACAAAAAAATTATTCTCTTCCTTTAATATGAATTGTATTAATGTTAATAATATTGTAAATCTTGCTACAGTAGGCAGATAAACAACTAATTTGGTATTAAATAAAACAACAATATATAATAAAAAAAATGAAAATAAATTCTCAATTTATATTTCTTAATTAATTTAGAGGATTCCTTCCTTTTTCTCATTTTTATGATATATTTTTTTAAAGTTATAATATTTATATACGATAAATAGAATAAATAAACTCAAATACACTCCTCGCCTTTAGTGAGGTTTGAACTCCTGACATGCTAGAAGATCAAAGACTCACATACCATCAGATTAATCGGAAATAAAAATGAAAGTGAATTTTATCCTCCAATTTAACCTGAATTATAATTTAGGATTATTATGTATACAAACAAAAGTATATATATATATATATATACATATATGTGTATATATATATATATATATATATATAAGAAAATGTTCAAACGAGAACCATTGTGATTTACGAGAACGCAAGAACAACCTATTAACCTCATATTGTGATAAAAATTAAAAGTAAAAGATTTTTTAAATTAAAATTGAAATTCAAAAAGATTCAAAAAAAATTGAGATTCAAAAGAGTAATAATGGAAATCGATATTATAAAATCTTAAACGCGATCACATGATAATCCTCAAAATTAGAGTGATTATCCTTATCTTTATTAGGTATCGATTAAGATTTCAAGGAGAAATCAACGAAGAAAGAAGCCGTAAAGTCGTAGGAATCAAACATCAAACAGTAATCGATCAAGAAGAAGCGTTTGCATGCAACAATCGAACAACAAGAAGAAGGAACACAGTTTATTCAAGGTATCTCATTCGATTAGGATTAGTTTATCACAACGAATTACTGACGAAATCAATTAAACGATTTTATGTGATATCAATATCACTCGATTTGATCATGGTGTCGATGGGTTAGGTTACACATTATCACAACGATTTTCGGATGGTTTCAATAGGTTAGATTAGACAATCACACATTTATCACAACGAAAACGATTTGGTGTGATAATCATGTGATATGGGTGTGATAATCATATGATATCACTATTATAACATCATTTGCACACTTAATTTGATCATGGTTTCGATCGGTTAGGATTAAACAATCACACATTTATCACAATGATCACTTATGGTTTCGATAAGTTATTGTTACACTCGACTGATCATGGTTTCGATAGGTTATGGTTACACAATCACACAATTATCACAAGGGAAGAGAAGAGAGTAGAAACGAACGTGCAGAAAAAAAAAAGATAATTATAATTTATTAAAATAAAATAAAAATTATAAAAATTATATTTACTATAATTATAATTTTTATTTTGTTTTAATAAATTATAATTATCTTTTTTTTTCTGCACGTTCGTTTCTACTCTCTTCTCTACTGTTCTTATTAATTTATTTATATTTACTATAAGTTAATTTATTAATATAAATTAATTTATTTATTTTTAATATAAATTAATTTATTAATTAAAAAAAATTTGAGATTATTGAATTGTTCTCACGTTCTCGTAAATCACAAAGGTTCTCGTTTGAACCTTCATATATATATATATATATATATATATATATATATATATATTATAATGAGTAATTTTATTTAAATTTATAAACATAAAATATAAAAATTTGAATTTGAAAAAAAGAAAAAGAAGAAAAAAAAAACAGTTTTCCTTCAAAAGTCTCTATCCCTCTTTCAATCCTCTGTAGCTTCTTTTTTCTTCTTATCGATTTCTTTCTGTTTCAGTTTCTTGAAATCGTTTCCTTGATCTGATTCCCATTTTAGAACCCTAATTCCAGTTGATTTTGTGAAAACGAAAATCCAGGAATGTATCATCAATCATCGCAGCACTTTGATTTGGAGCAGGACAATGCTACTTTGGGTTTTGGTGGTGGAGAACCAACTTCATGGCTTTCCGGCGAAGATCTCCGCCCTTCTTCACCTTCTCACCGCCGTAATCTTTCCGCTTTTTCGAGTTCCACCGCCACTACTGCTGCCGGCAATGTCGACCGTCTTCTCTTTAATGACCTCGTTCAGATCGTTCCCCTCGTTCAGTCTTTGATTGTAAGTCGCCCTCTTTCACGAAGACACAAACACACACACACACATCTCTGTTTATGCGTCCTTCGATTTTTAGGGTTCTTTTGAATTTTGGTTCAAGTAAAGCGGGCAGCGCTTCTAATTTTCGATTTCTGTTGTGTTCTATATGTATATACTTCGATTGAGTTAGGGTTTCTTAATTTTTGGATTCCTAATGTGGTTATATGTACTGGAATTCAATTAGGTTTTCATGAAACTGGCTTCCCCCCAAACTATTGGAACTTCTAAAATTTAAATTGGGGTTTGTTTCTGTTTGTAGGATCGAAAGGCAAATACTTCGTACACTCGTAGGGGGTCAATGATCTACACCAAGACGCCTTCAAGAGAATCACTAGCTAATAAGGTAATTCTTCTCATTTGGGAATGGATTAACTTACATCCAACTTTCATCTTTAGAATTATGTTGGAAATTGTGATTTTGTATTGCTTGGCTTGCATTATGACATCTCCGTAACTTGCAAGGTTTACTCTTTTTGTTTCTCAAATGACACCATTTTTTTGATGGGATAATATATAGAACCCCGTTGGATTGCTCTCCAAAAGAGCAAACCAACATATATGGAGGAGAAATGGTGCAATTTTAGCCGACATGGGACTCTAACACACCCCTCAATGGAGAGAAGACAGGAGCAGATTGTGCCGAAGCATCGAGAGGGGGCTAGACGGGTGAGGGGGGTATACGAGAACAAATTACCCCAAAGTGTCGAGTCATGAGAGTGGTAGACCTTTGCTAACATATCAATATATGGAACCCCATTGAGATTACTCTCCAAAATAGCTCTTGAGGAGAGAAGGGAGCCTCCAACATATATGGAAGAGGAATGGTCCATAGCTGAAGTGGGACTCTCAACACATCCATTTGGGGTTTAAAAAGCTAGGAATGCAGCGTGTTTTACCTAGACGAACTCCTTGTTTCATGAATTACTAAAGAGCTTGAGCTATATAATCTTGAAGAATTTTGAGGACTGAAAAATATGATAAAATGTAGAATAGAACAGTTGAAAGATCATCATATATGATGACTTTTATGAATTAATCACTTTTTCAGCCTGCAAAAAAGGTGAAAAAAATCAAGCATCATAATGTCATATGGCCTGCTATAATGGGCATTTCCATAATCTATATCTATCTATAGGTTAAGTTGATATGAATATTTAGTGCAATCTATGCCTATAAACATTTCCTGGGTTACAAAACATAATAAGAAACAATTTCGTAGGTTGGTTTGACAATGGTTTAGTTGCAAGGAGTTTACATGACTATATTTTGAACAATATTAACTTTATATGCTTGGTCATATAATACAGAGACTGCACAAAATACGGTAGATTTTTACAGGCTAAGCATGTTTACATAATGATACAATACTTCTTCCATCTCTTCATAATAAATGTTGTAATCTGACTTTTGAGTGTCAAAACCTCTTCTAGTCTTCTTCCCAATTTAGAAAATTTAGATATTATTTTTTCCCTATTTAAGTATTTCAAATGCTCCTTTTCTAGCTTAAGTAGATTATCAAAATGGAAGATGAAACAAAATTAATATCAATTTTGAAGTTGAAAAGAGGTCTGTTTGACTGTCAAAGCGAAATTAGCACGCCTATCATAGAAGATGTTAGTTAAATAGCATAATGGATGGAGCTGCAATAAGCATTGGTTGTCTTTTCTAATCGTATAATCCCAGCATTGGTTGTCTTTTCTAATCGTATAATCCCAAGTTGAATGGTAAATTTTGCAAGCTATTATTTTTCAAGTTGAATGTTGGACCACCAAAAGACAAATATAGATTTAGTGTAGTAGAAATGAGAATGCCACCGCTAGTATTTTCAGGGTGCGTTTGATATGTGGGACAAGACGGTACAAATACTTGTCGTCCCATGTTTGGCGCGACACTAGCTGGACAAGACGAACTAAGCAGGACAAAAATAAGGCAGATAGACAAGATTGGCAAATTACCAAACTATCCAATTACCCATGTCATATTACCTTCTATAATTCTTTCACCTGTCCAATCCCGGAGGAAGTGCTTAGTTGGAAGGTCAAAAACTTCTTGTTTTCTTGCTTAATGAATCTACAGAAGGTATTCACATTCTGAACATTTCCAGATGACTGAAGCAAAAGGTAGGAATGCTCAATCAATTCCTGGGAAAAAGCGCAGGGACAACGGTGGCAACGAGCAAGATGGAGGTGCTGATGGTTTCTCCATGTTTTCCTCCAGTTCAGTTTTGACAAAGGAGCGGGAAGAATTGGCTGAATTGAGGGAGAAAGTGGTGGATCTGGAAAGACAGTTGTTAGAGAAAGATGAAATCTTGAAATCGACAGAAGCTTCAAAAGACAAAATTAACTCTGTTAATAGCATGCTAGATGAAGTTAAAAAACAGGCGTTAGAAAAAGACGTCTTACTGCGTTCTACTCAAGCGCAATTAGCTGATGTAAAGGTATGTGTTCTATTGAGGGTTAAAATTGTCTATTTGCACATTAACAAATATATTGATGACTTGGGTCCACAAAATTCTTTCTTTGAAGGGTATTTTAGATTTCTCGATACTAACATCTGTACGTTATGTTCATGAATATGATCTTCTTCATCCAGATTAAACTAGCTGATAAACAAGCAGCTGTAGAGAAGTTACAGTGGGAAGCAATGACTTCCAACAGAAAGGCTGAAAAGCTCCAGGAAGATCTGAATGCCATTCAAGGAGAGATGTCATCGTATAAAGTGTTATTCGAAGGCTTGTCAAGTGACAATTTTAACCTTTCGGACCAAGAGTATGATGTCATCCCACATGTCGGTCACCTTCCTGAAATAGTAAGCCAAATGCCACCACCACCAACATCCTATTACTTCAATATCGTTACTCCCTCCAGCGATCCCCAAACAAGCGTCCACATTTCTATTTTTAGTTTGTCCCAAAATAAATCTCTCTTTTCAAAAGCAAACATCTACTTTCCAAGCCTACCCCTTAATTATGAGAGGGATAAATTCATTGCTCCCTCTGTAATTAAGGGTAAAATCATCATTTAGGTAATTAAAAAGTGATAATTACACATTTCTAAAACCGTACCTTTTTCATTGTGGACATTTATTTTAGGATGGAAGGATTACAAGATTTATATATTTCCTGTTTTTTTTTTTGTAATTTGGTGTATAAATGTATAATATATGTAGGATGATTTGGATGAACTGGATATGAGCAAAATGGAAGAGGCAAAGGAGGCTTACATGGCTGCCATTGCTGCTGCAAAAGAGAAGCAAGACGAAGAGTCGATCACCGTAGCTGCGAATGCTAGGTTGCATCTGCAGTCTTTTGTTCTAAGAGTGTAAAAGTCAACAAGTTTGGACTTCACCATTAAAGTTTGGAGTTCTTATGGTGTCATATGTTGGAAAACAGTGTGTGTGTGTGTATGTGTGTAATCTTCTTCTTTTTTAATCTAATGAGTTGGGATTGCATATCCACATGTAATGTTGCTGCTTATTCTCATTTCTGAGTACAGAATGAAGATAGAATGCACCGACTTGGGTAATAGAATGTATAAGGGGCTGTTTGGTTTGGTTTTCCGTACGGATAAAGTTGTATGTGTAGATTGAGAAGGTTTTTGTCTGTAAGAGTTTTTTCCATAGATAGAAGAGCGTGTTCTTTAATTGGTAGGGGCAGGTTTGGAAAACAAACGTGGCTTTCTATATAAAGTTCTCCCGAGAGGCTTATTGGATAAGCTATTTTTATGTCATTTAATCACTACTAAACAATCATGTGTAGTTGATCGAACAAGCTGTGAGTCTCATTTAGTTGCTAACAAATAGCCCGCAAGACTTTTTGTATGAAATGGGAGATGGGTTTGTGCTAAGTAGTGTCAAAATACGACCAAGGGTTATTTAGCTCTTGACAAGTGCTTTTTTAGATCCATGACTTTGTGAAAGTGACTTCTTTTTCTGTTAAGCAGTGACATTCTCAAACCAGTCAAAAAGTTACGACTTAAAAAAAAAACCCTAATAGAGAAGGTCTTTGGTTGTTATTTAGCTAAATACCTCTTTTTTAATTCATGACTTTTTAATAGGTTTTTGGACACTCTCTGTGAAGCATGGACATTCAAAAGATCATGAGTTTAAATAAGTAAAGAAAGAGACTATAACATGCAAATTCTCTTGTTTTCCCTTTGATTGGATATATGAATAATGAACCTAAATACCAGAAAACTCCTGTTCATGTATGAATTTAATCTGTGTGTAACTAGATTTTATAGCGATCAATAGCAACGGTTTGGTACAAAGCGCCTAAAGAATAAGTATGCCAACAGACCATCACTGTCGATGGATTACGTAACTCTAGAGAGTCAGCGAAAATTGGTAGGCTTGCCGACGTTTATATTCTGCTCTTTCAAGAAACTCAGTATAGCGTTTTTCTGCCAACTTTTGAAGCTCCTGCAACGGAAATAGACCCAAGTTAGTAGAACCAACGGAAAGGTGATGGAGTTTTTCACAACGGTATAATAAACTTGATCTAGGTCCCATTTGGTTTGCGGGATTGGATTTGATTTGGAATTCAATTCCATTCAAACCAAACACACCTAAGATTCCAAGTCCTACGAAATCCAAATCCCTCAACCATTTCAACAAACCGAACACCCCCTTTAGGATTATGCATAACTTTCAGGTACAATTACAGTGACAAAAGACAAGTGATTACTGGGTCCTTTGGATAAATGACCCTAAACAAGTATTATATTAGGAACATAACCTTAAAAAAAGCTCAATGACCTTTATCTGACACGTCTCGGGTAAAAGACAGACTGCTCTTAGAAACACACTAGAGGGTCATTTCGTAAAAACAACTTCTCGAGAAGGTCATTGAGATAATTCTTGTTACATATAATTGCGACTTTTTTGGGTGAAAAGAATTTTAAGCTTACAACCTATTTGCATACTGTCATCCTTGCAATTGTTATTCATGATCCACACACACTTCTCTTATTTGAATTAGTTAAGGGTATTTTAGACTTCTGAATGATATAAAAGACCATTTTACACTTAGGGGTTGTTTACCAAATGCTTACCGGGTAAGTGCTCATTGGCAAGAGTCATCATCTTCACTTACCCATCAAAATGGATTGTCTAAGCATCTTTTATGCGGTAAACACTTACAGGGTAAGAGTCTCCTCCCTCATTTACCAAATAAGATTCTTGGTCTTTGCTATGCCTCTTAGGCTCTTAGTGGGTAAGTTTTTTGGTCCTTGTCATGCTTATCGGTGAGGAGGATGAGAATCGGTAAGTGCTTATCCGGTAAGAGTTTGGTAAACAGCCCTTACTGTTTATTTTTTGTTCTTTTTCATCCACCAAATTTTTTGTGGTGTATGAACTTGTACTTATTTTCAACTAGAGAACCAAACAAGGCCATGTCCACTTTTTTGGTTTTCATCGAAAGATCTAAAGGGGATTTAAATCCAACAGGAGGGATATAATTCACCATTTGAGCGAATAAGCCTAAAGCAAACAGATGCCGTTAAACTCTTTAAGCCATTAACAAGCGCTGGTTGGTTGGTTTTCCATCAAGTCTTGTACGGATAAAGTTGTTTCTATAGATTGAGAAGGTTTTGTTTGGAAGGGTTTTTTCATAAACGAATGACATGTTTCTTTATCGTGAGGGGCAGGTTTGGAAAAAACTTCGCTTTCTGCATAAAGCTCCCCTAGAAGCTTATTTAATAAGCCACTTTCGATATAATTAAACCACTACCAAACAGTCATGTATGGTTGACTGAATAAGTTGTGAGTCCCGTTAAGCTCATTAAGCTGCTAACAAACTGTCCTTACTCTCCCAATAACCTACAGACATCACCTAGAAACTTAACGACTAACGGATTACTTGACCTAGCTGCAGACTTAACAGCAATAAATTGATAGGATATACTTACTTTTGATCAAGATGAGCGAGAATTTCTCCCCCTGGAAATGATGCTTTAGTAACCTCATATGCAACTTTAATTGCTTCTCTCCAAGTTCCGCCTACTCCTGCATCTCCATTGTCTTCCATTGGCAATGAATACCCCGATAGCAAGTGGCCGACCCAAACATCATCTTTCCTGAAAAAAGATTCATACAAGAGACTGAATTCAACTTACCGCTAGGATTAAGAAGAATGCCCCATCCTTCTTGGAGGTCATGGGTCATTGGCCCAACAGTATATGGGTTAGGTTACTGGTATCCCTATCTTCTTGGAGGTCAAGGGTTCAAGCATCGTCTATGGTGAGGAGTGTGTGTGAGTTTTGGCGTATCTAAATATTATATAGTTTAAAAAAAAGGAGAGAACAATGGGAGCATTTGCAGTAACTACAAAACGCAATCAATCTTATACTTTTACTCTATACATGCAAGTTGAAACAAGTATTAAAAGGAAAGTGGCAGACCTAGGAATTTCTTTGAGCGGGTGCACCTTTAAGATGGATCAAAGGTCGGCAAATCATGGTTTGACCAGGGGAGAAAGTCAATGCGGTTTGACCTAAAAGAAAGTCAATTGTGTCGATTTGAGAAATAAGATGCATTTTTTCAAATGGAAAACCTTGATCCATAAAATAAATATACGTTCCCTTAAAAATGAGATAAAAAGCGACAATTTTAAGATGAAATGACATTAGGAAGGAAAATAAATCATGAAAAAGAAAATCAAAAGGGGAGAAAAATTAACAAGAGGTTGCCTTGGCATAGTGGTAGTAGATAGTAGTACTTATACTTGAGGTTGTGAGTTCAATCCTTCTAACTATATTTTTGTTATTAGTATTTTCAGAAATAGCATTATAGGTCCCGAGTAAATGCTCCGGTTCAGCTCTGGAGCCTAAAATTAAAAGATAAAAAAGTAAACTTTCACTTGAAAGATTCAAACCCATGGCCTCTTGTATATAAAGGGGTAACCCAACCATCCCACCCGTATTCAGTTTTTGTTATAGATTTGGTCTCAAAGTATTTAAGGGCACCACTCGAAATCAAGCGGGTGCACCTATCAAACAGCTAACTTATTTCTCTTGCAATAATCGAGTGAGCGGGTGCACGGGAGCCCCCACTCCACAAGTCCCACAGGCCATCGTATGAGAGGTAAATCACAAGTTAGCAGGTGGTGGTGCGCAGGCTGGATGGCCACCATACTACCGCTAAGGCAACACGTGGGGCCTAGACAAGTAATTAAGTTATAGCATGATATGTGTTGCTTCCATAAGGCTTTCATGAAAATGTAAAACACCGCAACACATCAAACTGATACAACAACCTCCGAATCAAATAAAACCACGGTCTTAGGTTATTTGTATCTTGATACTATTACTAAGAACTTATCAGACCCTCATACTTACAATAAACCAACATACTAGCAAATAAATAAGAATCCCTATTCGAAGAAAATAGCAAACATGACACTATCGTTAAGGGTGCATTTGGTAGGCAGACGAGACTGGAACAGGATTGGACGGGCAAGAGTGAGTAGACGTATGAAAGAATTGTGCAAGGTTTTATGGTTTAAATCTGACATGAGTGGTTCAGTAATTTACCAATCTTGTCTCATCTCCCTTATTTTTGTTCCACTTATTTTGGTTGGACAAAAAAAAACATGTGTCTCATTCAGTCCCGTCCTATCCCAGTCTATGTTGTGCCAAATGTGGGACAATGGTTTAAAATTCACAATTAACTCAACTGTCTTTCTATTCATCTTTGTACTCTCGCAAGTATTTCGGTTGTTTAGAGTGAATAGCTGAGTACAACGGTTAGTAAGATTAATCACTTTTTCCAAGTAGCCCGCCACGTGACCAATGACAAAAAGGAAAACGACCAAGTATTTTCTTTAGTGCAATCTATTGCCCTGTATCTCTATGTGGGATATACTGGGTTCGTTTGGTTTGGTTTATTTCTTGTATCCATCTTTGTTTACATGTAATTAACTAAAATGCCGCAATTATGATTGTCAACTTAATTAGATCGAGGTATTTAGTGCCTAAAAAGTGTACCAAAAAACGACAGCAAGTTAAATGTGTTAAACTTACAGAACAATATCCATATGCCTCGGAACATAGTGTCCACCGCCAACCCCTAGAAGGATTTTCTTCTTTCCATTATGCCTACACCATTGAATTTAAGCAAAACAGAAAGAAAAGTCGTGAACATAATTCCACCATCATCATCGGAAAGTTTCATAGCAATCCAACGTTGAAAACATCATGAAAAAACTAAACCAATATCAATTTTACCTGGACCAGTCTCCAACAGGAATTCCTCCATCAAGTCCTAATCCTTTCCAAACTAACTTCAAAGCAACATTCGAAACAAATAATTATTCGATTATCTTTGTTAAGTACCCAACTTATCTTAAATAGTAGCATTTTACTCCCTCTGTCCCAAAATAAGTGTCCACGTTTCTATTTTAGTTTGTGTAAAACCCCAAGCCCAAAGCAGCAGGCTGGCATAATAACTTAAATTCAACTTGAAACCATGGTGGAAGTTACTTAGCCACAACTTGAGACTTATAAGGAGCTCACAAATCCAATTTTCTATCCATGTGAGACGGGTTGTTACAATTTGTCCCAAAATACGTGTCTACTTTCCAATTCTACCTTTAATTATGAGTTGAAGAAATATATTACTCCCTCTATTATTAAAGGTAAAATTGTCATTTTACAATTAAAAAGTGTAATAATTACACATTTTTAAAACTGTGTTTCTTTTTCCTTGTGGACATTTATTTTGGGACGGAGGGAGTAACCTTTAGAACATAGTGCCAATGATCAAACTTCAAAGAACTTTAACTTATCAGAAAATGGGTCCCTGGTGACCTCTCAACCAATGTGTTATTTTTTATCAGGCATTTTCGTAATTCTAACGTATTTTAAATGCTCAAAAGGTTATAGAAATATATGAACGTTATTTTATGGCACAGTTAAAGCTTATGCTCAAAAGAGATACCGAACTAAAGCAATAGCTTGTGCTGCATCCTGCCTCTTCCAGTACTCTTCTGTGCTGCCTGATATAATAATAGCATAAAGAATCGTAGTATTAACGGTTTGAGTTCGATCAAGTTTCTTTTGCATAAAAAACAAATGAGCAAATGCTTTATATTGAGATATTAGCTGCTGCAAAGGCATAACTTTCTCTTCTAATCATAGAAAAAGATTAAACCGAAACTTTGAAACCTAGGAACAACCTTTTCGAGTTTTCCTTTTGATACGTACCGATTTCTACAAACATCGTGGGAGAGTCAATTACGGGTCCGTGATGTGTGGCCTCCAATGTAACCTATACCCCAGAACAAAAAAAGGTAAACAACTATGGCATACAAACAAACAAACAAGTCTACAATTTGCATGCATATTTTCTTTTTAAGTATATATATTATTTTATATACGGCAAATACTGATGCACACTCCTCACCTTTGGTGAGGTTCGAACCGTTAACCTCCTGAGAGGCTGGGCTCTAAAAGTACCCGGTAACCCTTTGGTATTTGCAAGCATACTTATTCCTTAGCAGAAGGAAATTTGTGCTAGATAGCAAAATTTACCATCTACACGAATTTCATATGTTAAGAGTTAAGAATTAAATACATAGATACATGTGGAAACACACCCAAGTAACATTAAGCACTCGATTAAAATCTAAAACATATAACAAATTTAACCAAAAGAAATGAAACATGTACGTTTCGTAGTGATTCTCCCTTAGTTTCGAGAAAATAGCTAAATTCACTTTGGTTTTGGCTTGGGGAAGCATCAACTGGAGGATTGTAAATGAACAGGATCAAAACTTGTGCACATATTTGTTAGTGTTCTAAAGGGCGCACCATGGCGGTGGCGGTGGCGGTGGCGGTGGCGCAAGATTCATCTCCGTAAGGCATTATTTGATCTTCTTTACTTTTTTTATTTGCTTTTAGTTTTTAGGATACAACCTACTCGTATATGGTCTTAGATTAGAAATATGGAACTATTGGTATAACATTTCCTTTTTGTTATGTGCTCTTAATATAACCTCTTCTCTAAGCTCTTTATACATCTATGATATCAATATATCATTTTGGTCTTCTTATATGAATTTAGATTGTTCATATCATTGACTAATTGAGTAATAGTAAAAAAAAAATGTGCGTATATATACAATATACAGATTTTCCGTGAGAGTCATGCCCTTGAAAAACGTCGTGGCCTTGTCGTGGCTCCTACGGCTTGAGGCCTGACCTCGTCACCACGCCACGGCTCACGCCATTTAGAACGTTGGTGGTGATATACAAGTTCAACTAAAACAAAAAACTTAGAGCATGTTTCTTAGCATCTAGATGAGCTTAATGGGACTCCCAGCTTATTCGTTCAGCTATACATGATTGTTTGGTAGTGGCTTAATAATATGGAGAGCAGCTTATTCAGTAAGCTTCTAGGAGGAGTTTCATGCATAAGCCAAGTTTTTTCCAAACCTACTCTTCCGATTTAAAAAACCCGCTCCTTCCATCTATGAAAAAACCCTTCCAAACAAAATCTTCTCAATCTCTACAGACTATTTAATCCAAACAGACAGCTTTATCCATCCAGGACTTAATGGAAAATCAACCAAACAACAACGCCTTACTGTTACATTATGGATACCTCAAATTCAGGAGTCAGATTGTGTGATTCAGCAATGACCTTCAATAATCGCAGCCATGGCCCCATTCGGGCATTAGGTGGTGCAGCCCATCCGGGTTTACCACCAGCCGCTGGCACCTCATCTTCTCGTAAATGAGGAACACCTAAAACATACTCCATAATTAACCCCTAATCCACAAATACAACAAAAGAAATGAACCATCCAACTAACGATTGCAATTCTAAATCACATAACAATATACCAATCGGATGAATGGTTAATGCAGGCCGATTCGAGGCAGCAGTGTGTCTGCTAAGAAATATAACCTCATCCACAACCTCTCCGGTGGCAGTCTCCCACCGTTTATCCAAATGATCCTCTCTAACAATGGAGTTATCATGCTTCAATAGCCTTACTCCTTTGTTCACAAAACTTGCCATATCCTACACCATAGACTTCAATTTCAACATCAAGACCCCAAATTAAGAATGGAACCAATTCACACATGATTTTGCAAAACTTCAAATCGTAATTTCGTATGAATCATAGATTGTGCTATACGTATATCGATTTCATGTACTTCTATTACTCAGAAAATAGAAGGAATTGAATTCCTTGGGTAGGGAGATTAACCTGGAGAAATGGGCCGGGGTGCCACCCCGGCATGGCTAAGAGTGCGGAGGCGGGGCCGATGGAGGCCGGATCAATGGTGGTGGCGACGACTAGGGTCACCATCAGCCTTCTAATGTGAGACCTGAAACTGGTTTTCCTGAAGGCGAGGCTACGAGCAGCAATCAGTCTTCCACTTAAACAGGAAGACATTTCGTCGAACAGGTTGTGGATATTTGAAGTGCTTAAACAACCAGGACAACAAATTACAGATGAGAGTATTCCTTTTGACCGTTAACTTTAAAACAATTACAAATTCAGTCCCTCAACCTCAAATGTTAATAACAATCCTGTAATGTAACCGTATAAACCATACAGTATCAAACTGAACGGTATCAGGGTCCGTCCTAGGGTTTTGATGCCTGGTATGAAAATGCTAAAAAATGCCCTTATGCCTATTTTTAAGAAATGAAACAAGGAAACATACGATTTTTTTGGAACCTAGTCAAGCTAGGTGGTTCATCCCCACACTAACTTTTATTAATAACTACAAGGCTGGTGCCTGATTGGTTTGAGATTGACTCCAAAGGTTAAAAGTACCAGTAGGTCCCAAGTTCAAATCCATGGAGAAATAAAAATCCCCTTTGTGGCCGCGGAGGTTCAAATGCGGTGACTCCGGGCTATCTGCAAAGCAGATGATCGTCCTGAGATTAGTCGGCTCGCATAGCGGGTTGGATATCTAGGTTAATCAAAAAAAAAAACTTTTATTAATTATCTATACTATATTATAAAGCATTTGACAAAAACTCTTAAAATTATTTTTTATGCATGAAGTATTATTTATAAATGCATATTACTTAAAATTCAAGATTACAAGTAAGTTGTGCTTAAGTGCAACTTATTATAGCTCCATGTTTGAATTCGTGTAACTAACTACAGATAAACATAATTAAATACATGATAAACATCTCATTTAAAATATAAAAAATCTTAAATATAATTAAGATAATTATTGAGTTTTAACAAAATAGTTAATAATTATGTTTATAAAAAAATTATATAATTAAACCTAAATTAAATTACTTCGTTATGTWAAAAAATTATAATAAAAAATTTGAATTAAAGAAATTACACAAAATAAAAAGTTTTAAATAGCTAATTTGATACTAATATTGATTTTTTTTTATAATTTTTATGATATTTTCAAATTTATATTTTATTCAAAAATAAAAACATTATCGATTTCTCAAAACCATATAAAACGTTATTATATCGACATACATAAAGAACAAAATGAAATATTAAAATCGAGATGTGTCTCGATGCATTGCACGAGTACCCTTCTAGTAATAAAAAAATACAAAGGAGGGGGGGGGGGATAATATAGTATAAAACTTTAGCAATGCAGTTATGGTTTGTATTCTCCATCAAAAGGTATAAAACTTTCACAGTACAGTTATGGTTTGTATTTTTCATCAGTTGGTATAAACCATATAGTATCAAAGTGGACAGTATAAAACTTTCACAATGCAATCATGGTTTGTATATTTCATCAAAAGGTACAAACCATGTTGTATCAAATGGCACTGTATAAAACTTTACAGTTGTCACAGTTCAATTATGGTTTGTATTTTCCGTCAAATGGTATAAACCATACAATATCAAAGTTCATGATATTAAACTTTCACAGTAAAATTATAGTTTGTTTTTTTTCATCAAAGGGTATAAACCATACAGTATCAAAGTGCAGGATATAGAACTTTCACAGTTCAGTCATGGTCTGTATTTTGCATCTAAAGATATAAACCATACAATATCAGAGTGCATGGTATAAAACTATTATAGTGCAGTTATGATTGTATTCTTCATTAATTTGTATAAACCATACAGTATCAAAGTGCACAGTATAAAACTTTCATAGTGCAGTTATGGTTTGTATTTTTCATTAAAGGGTATAAACCATACAATATCAAAGTGCACTGTGCAAAACTTTTTGCAGTGTAGTTATGGTTTGTATTTTTCACCAATCAGTATAAACCATATATAAATATTATATACTTCCAAAAAAAGATACACCTTTTACATTTGTCCTTATCGATCGGACATCATTTGATTTGCTTTGAAATGCGTGTTATATACTTATATTATGCGAAGTAGTATATAATAAGGGGTTGATATTGATACCCCCTGACATACCTTTCTACCCCCTGCACCTTGTCCCCACCTCACATTTTTTTTCATACTCACATGATTTGCACACACACACTCACACGATTTTAATATAAAAAATTTAAATTTACACTTTATAYCCTTATAATTAGTTAATTAATTTACTTTATACCCTTTCCTTTTAAAATTTTCATTTTATACCCTGATCAAATTAACATACATAATCGTATATCAATTAAAATATGTTAAAAAATACGTTTTAATTTTAACAAGTTACACCATTATAATCGTCACGTCAATACCTTCGAAATAAG